TCATTAGAGTACCTCAAGTTAACTGGAACAAAGAAGAATAAAAATGGCTTGTGTTTTCATGTATATTATCATCATTGGGTACTTGTCCCTACAAATGTTTGATCGCCTTTAGATTATGTTGTGAACCTGTTCCCCCCACCCCCTCCCTACACACACACTTCAGTAGTTTGTAAAACGGTGAACTTGTCAATAATCAAGGTACAGAAACTCTTGAGAGTTTGCTGCCTTATCAACTATTTTGTCATACCTGCTAAGTCAGTAATTATTGGACTGTATTTGTGAGTAGTTACAGTAAGTGATATCTTTAGGGGAAATGATATTTGTCACCTAGTATCTAAAGCACAGCTAATATTTATGAAATTTTCTTTTTATATTAAGAAAAAAGACTTCAATCTCAAAACACTCTAATTATGTATTCTTTTAATCCCACCATTTCTTTGTAGTTAAATGGCTAGAATCAAAATTTAAATTCTGCTAATAACCCTCAAAGACCAGCTAACCCTTTCATTTGGATTTAAAGACTATGTCTATTTGCCTACTCTGGAACATAAGAACCCTTTAAAAAACATGAAAATAAACATCTTGACCCAGGGAAATACCAGTAGCTCCAGGTCTTCCAATAATCCCAGAGAAGCAAAAATACATCCAAGTTTGCTTTCACTGAGAAAGCTAGTTTAGTCTCTTAAATTCCCTTTAATTTATATATTGAAGCTGTTTTTACATTCTTGTACAATATCTTCAGGTAAACAATAACTGCCAGGTCAAGTGACTTGCTTTGAATGTTATTTAAATATAATATGAGCTGAAATAAATCTCATTTCTGGCCAAAGGAACTCTCATTACAAGATTTCAACAGCCTTAATAAAATCCAAACAAATCTTTCTGGCTGTATTTCATTTTTTTAGGGATTTTCCAAAAGCCCTTGTAATTAAATCTATGCTCAAAACAACACCACCATCAACCACAAAACAAAAATGAACTTGAAAAATGAAATGTTCTTTAAAGTTGCTTTTAAGAGTGCTCATCTAAAGGTTAATTTGGGTGGATTTATTTTTAATTTTCTACCCTGAAAGGAGAGATGCAGGGAGAAAACTTGTTTAAAAAGACTCAAAAGACAAGGAGGACGCAACAATTACCTACAGAGGTTTCTAGCAAGATTTTCTTCGACTTGCTGTGACAAAGATTAAGCTGGTGGAGAGAGGGACAGCATACACTCTTGAAATAAGAGGAGCAAGAGGGCACATGATCATTGTCATACACAGAGCCCTTAAATTGCTCTTCAAATTGATAAGGCACTGACCACATTTTCCCCACACTATAACTTGAGACATGGGTGTAATGAAATTGTTTTCAATAAACTTAAGGGTTTGTATGCACAGAGCTCTTTCATTAGAACTCTCCAACCAGAAAAAAAAAGTCACCTTAGACACAAGCCATTTTTAGGGATGCAAAATCAAAAGGTACTTAAATCATTTCGAAAAGGTTCGCATGGAAAGTAATCGATCAACAATGTGAATGAATAACAATATTCATATCTCAAAGCTTAGAAAAAAAGAGAATACCACTCTGGCTGTAAAAATAATAAATTTACTATGTTTGAAAGAAATATACACAAGGAAGAGAGAAAATGAAAGCAAACCCTAAAATGTCACTGAAGAAGTCAGACAAACCTCATCACTTGCTTTATGACACCTGTTCATGCAACAGTACTATTGTTCCACTGGGACACAGTTCAACTCATCTTCACTTTCAAAAAGGGATCCAACTATTTTAAAAGCCTTTGAAACAAAAGGTTTATTTTACTAAAGATTATCTTCTCTTAAGCAACACTGGTACCTCTTGTTTGCAGAAGATGATAACATGGTAGTTTAAAAACTGGTTGTAAAGGGATGTGCCTCAAAAAACAGGAAGGGAATCAATAGTGGATATAGTCTACTAAACGTCAATTGATTAAATCTACTATTACGATAGATTTTCAATTAGTATGACGTCCTATAGTTTTGTTTTCAGTAGTAAAGGTTTACAGCTTACTGACCTATCCTTAAGAAGAAAAAAGGACGTATGCTAGTTATTTGGTCAGGTAAATTCTAACAATCCCAAGAGATCAATGAGCTGCTCTTAAGGGCCCCAATTTCATTGAACACACATATGCTAGAGCGTGTAACCATTTTTTCCATTCTTTTTTCCTCCTATAACAACAGTGCTTCTGGGACTCCTTATAAATCATTTAAAAGCCACTTATAAAAGCTTTGCAGCTATAAACACCCTGACTCTTGGTATACAGAAAGATCCAGTACCAACATAGTCCATATAGAAGACAGTGCAACACTTATATGGCATCTTCCACATAGAAAAAAAAATTGTCATTGAAGCACATAAGGGAGAAAAAAATACTCAAACTCAAATTGTTTGAATCCCTTGTGATGTTTACACAAATAATATTTACATAGTGAAAAAACAAAATAGGAAGGTGTGTTTGATCAGTTCTCTTTCAATTCTTATAGTTTGGAGGTTACAGTGAAAATAATACTCTGAAAAACAAGCAGAGCTTGGACAGAGGGGACATGAAGCCAAAAACAGTGCTGGGAAAGGGAATTATGTAGCCATTCTTATGGTTAAACTTTAAAAGCTGATATGCTACTTCCATATGAAAAATAAGCCTCTATGTTAAAATAAATGTTCAGTGAGACATGCCTCAAATGGTACTGGCCAGCATTACATACTGCTATACTAGGCCATATCATATGCCAATCATTATGCTTATCAGAAACCAGCTTAAGTTTAAGTTACAATTAAATTTCTAGTGAGTTCTTGGCTAGGGGAGAAACAAAGGTTAATGTTGATGAAAAGTTTGAGCTTCTGAGTCATTAATTTACAATCTAGGGCAGGCTTAGTAAGATTCATATTCCCATAAATAAACGATCTACACATTTAATATATTTTGGTGACATTTTTTTTAAACCAAAAATTCACCTACACTATTTTAATTCACTTCACTTACTGGTTTCAATTTGCAAATGCTAAAATAATCTTAAACAGCAATGACTAATCTTTTGAATGGGTAAATTTAAAGACAGAAAAATAATGATGACTTCTGCACTGTTACAAGGTTTAGTCAGAGGCCACAATTCTATCTACGAACTATTTACCCAATCTGAACACTGTTCTTACTCTGTGCAAGCATCTATTAATGTACAGAGCTGAAAACATCAAACACATCTTCCAGCTTAGCTCTCTCTTTGGCAAAACTATGTGATGTCAGGCTCTGACTTCCAGTTGCACATCTCCACAGATATGGCTAACCTACAACATGCCTATGTTAGCTTACTTATAACAAACAAAATAATAATTTAAAAAAATCCACAGGGTTTGCATTCACAATATTTTTTAAAAAGCACATACATTGTTAAAAACGCTATTTCTGAAAAGAAATAAACAAGTCAAGAAATTTTAAAAAATGCAAAACAAAAGATGTGCAAGGTCTACACAGTAATACTGCTGGCTACGTGGATGGTATCTTTCTATGTACCCAACGTGGGTTAAGCTTAAATCACTAACTGAAAAGTCTTTCAGCACTGGCAACTGTTGCTCTTTCCAGCCTATGTCACTAAAACCCAGAAATAATGGTATTTCTAACTGTGTTATATGAGAAAAATACTTGAACTCAACATTTTTTTCAAACAAAAAACCAAATTAAAACACTTAACATTCAAAAAAAGCCCTTCTACCTTGCTCTGGATAGATGTTTTTATAATTAATGTATAAGCAATATTTTCTATTTGGGTTTCATGGACTCAAGGGTGAAAGACTTATTTTAAAAACGTATAAAATTTTCAAAAAATATAGATGTAACAAATTTAACATGAGGTCCAAAGTAACAGAAGTCTATTAGCAGATATCAGTCACAAAGCATTACTTATTCTGGGCCACTGCTAAAATCTATGATGCCTCAAGAGTTTATAACAGCCAATACATAGCTTTTGTTCAAGTGCCATTTTTTTTTTTTTTTGGTTAAAATTCTAAGGCATCTCACCATCAAACTTTTTTGTTTTTGTACTTCAATATTGATTTTAGAAATTAAGTGCATTATTGCATAGAAGAGCGCTTACAAAACTGCTTGGTCAACTACTGACAAAATACAATTTTATGTCAGAAACCTATAGTAAGTTCTCAGAAAAATGTTTTGGTATGTTTATGGTAAGTTGTATAAGGAGTAAAGTTTTGGTACTGGAAATTCTCGGAATCTCAAACTTTCACAACTTTATCCCTTTTAACATTATTTTGTATGTCTTATAATACATACATATCTATGTAGAATCATTTAAACAAATATGATCCTGAATCTTGTATTGACCAAAAATAAAATGAGTAATAAAAAAGTAACTCTGGCATTATGCACATTAAACACTGTAAAAGAAAACATCCTGAAAAAATATCACTATGTCACCTTGATGAGGAAAACCGCCAGTGACTGGGAGAAGGCATAAGCCAATTAACTTGGAAAAAAGATCTAATTATGGTAAAATCTTCTCAGACAAGTTTAGATTGGGATGATAGTTCTCTACAAGGTAGATCTGTGGTCCAACAATGAATTCATACAGAAAGCTAAACTTTAACTCCAGTTAGAAACAACCATGTTTTCTGGTGCCGACTTTAAACAGTGACTGGTAAATGGAACACTCAGCCTTTGTACCTCCTGCAGGAAATAATGTTCCCCATACAGTACTAAATTTCAGAAGTTAGTGTTTAAAAAACGTCCCTCATCCCTAACAAAACAAACACCCCCCACCCCACCCCAAACAAACCCCAACAACTTCCATTAAGAACGTTTCTCACTCCTACACTCTTGCTGGGAGGGAGCACGCAAGGCTGCAGCTGCAGAGACAGGACAAGCCCTGCTCCTGATGGAATCCCTAGGAAATAGGTTTTTCCTTCTTAAAGCGTATCTAAAAAAGGCGATTCCCCCCTCCAAAATTAGTACAAAGTTAAAAGAAAAACATATTAGCTACGATCAATCCCAAGCACAGCACCGCCGGAAGATTCACACACACTATTTGGTGTTTCATGTTGGTTTTCCTTTCATTCTTTTAAGGCAGTGGTTTCCACAGGTCAGTTGAGAGATAAAAGTATGGTTCATGGCAGTTTGTTTTACAACTCCAATTTGTTCTCTGGGAATATCTCACTTCATTCCCTGAAATTAGTGCTTTTTTGGTTCAGAACTCCAAAGGCTGAGCCAGAGCCTCTGGTCTCTTCCTGGCACAGGATGGTTGACAGCTGGCGCTGTGCATCAGGTCCCGGCTCCCAGCAGAAACAACAGTTCCCCTCTCTTTTTTCTCAAGCTTTTACTCGAAAGTCATCAAGTTTGTAGGAACCTAAAAAATATAAGCATTACAAATCAAGTTTAAAAGTTGTTTTTCAAAGTAGCATTTCTTTTTTTTTTTTTTGAGTTGGAGTCTTACTCAGTCGCCCAGACTGGAGTGCAGTGGCCACTCCCGGCCACTGCAGCCTCGCCTGCTGGGCTCTGGCGATCCTTCAGCCTCAGCCTTCCAAGTAGCCGGAATTACAGGCATGCGCTACCACGCCCGGCTGATTTTTGATTTATTGTAGAGATGAGGTCTTGCTGCCCAGGCGGGTCTTGAGCCCACGAAAAGCAGCATTTCTTATCTTTCCTTGTCATATAGGCAAGCCCAAATCTTTTAACATGATGAAACCCTTTTAGTTCTTTGACTAGAGAATTAATTCGTCAGCTAATTTTAAAAAGCCATTATTTCAGAGAATCTTTTAAAAGGTATTTAATAGAATAGACTCAATAATTTATGAATAGTAAATATAATATGCTAGAATATCTTAGAGAGAAAAATCAATGAAATTTGTTAATATGCTCTTTCTAGTAAAGTGACATCTGGACAGGAGAAAGGGCAGAGATAATACCTTTCTTGTCTAACACAGAGGGTTCAGTAGATGTTTATTGAATGAATAAACGAAAGGATAAGTATGACTCTAATAAGGTGAGAGTCCAGGCAAACATGCTTGTCATTATTTTCTCATTACATATATTATACAAATTCATAATATTTTTATGTTCCTACAGGAACATTTTAAAAGCCAGTACAAATAATTTTACAACAAACATTACTAAGAATTTCATGAAAATAAGTATAAAAGAATAATTCATTATTAGATAAATTCTTACTAGATACTCTGTGACTGAAAAATTAATAGGTTATAGATGGGATCATTTTTATTTGATTTCTTATAAGTCTGAAATTCAATAATAATTCTCTGAAATAATGGCTTTTTAAAATTAGCTGACGAATTAATTCTCTAGTCAAAGAACTAAAAGGGTTTCATCATGTTAAAAACAAACAAGCAAACAAACTCTTTTTTTTTTGTTTTTTGTTTTTGAGTTGGAGTCTCGCTCTGTCGCCCAGACTGGAGTGCAGTGGCTGCTCCTGGCCACCGCAACCTTGACCTGCTGGGCTCCGGCGATCCTTCTGCTTCAGCCTTCCGAGTAGCCGGAATTACAGGCATGTGCTACCATGCCCGACTGATTTTTTGATTTATTGTAGAGATGAGGTCTCGCTGCCCAGGCGGGTCTCGAACCCGCAGGTTCAGGCAATCCACTCATCTCAGCCTCCCAAAGGTGCGGGATTATAGGCTGCGCCACCGAGCCCGGCCCAAACAAACTCTTAATCCTTAAAACCAGCTTTCTAAAACTGTGTTGGTAGAGATATTAATCTGTCTGTGGTCCTTTCCCTGTCCTTTAAGACAGCTGACTCCTACTACTTCAGCAACCTTTCTCTCTGAAACCTATGATACTCAGAAACATATATATCTTATAGCTTCTGAATAAAACGTCTGCTGGACAATATGATCATAACTGAAATATAAGTAAAATAAAACATAAATACATGCTTAAAGTATAAATTTTCAGGTTTGACTATAAGAAACCTATATTTAAGTGAAGCAAAAGTTTTATTTCTTCCTAAGTTGCAGAATGTGGTTTAAGGTATTTTGCATTTGGGCCAGAGTTTTCTACTAATAATTTAAAAATTTTACAAGTTCTATTTATAAATATAGTACTACTCTAATTCTTGCAGGTATAGTAAAGCAAATAAACATACATTTATACACAGTTGATTGACTTGCTTGCTAATACGGTAAGATATTGAACTTCTTTGCTGGTGTACATCTATTGTCTAGAATAACCTTGGAATTTGAGATTCTAATAAAATGAGACTTAATACTTTCTGCCACATTAAAAAAAAAAGTATAGCATCAAATGAATCCTGAAGGTTTAGTCTAGGAAAAAGCAGGTCTGTTTCTTTCACTCTTCCCCATATAGTAACTTGGTAAGAAAATAAATTTTGCTCTATGGCATTTCATATCCTTTATGGAGGCTGCTAAAAATGGCACCAAATATGGCTATTAGTTTTTCAAATATATTTGAAATAAAAATTATGAGTGAACAAAGCCTGCTCCAAAAATACTTAAAAGTAATGGCCATAAAGGATGAAGATAGAGTTGGGTCTCAGGTCCACTGTTCTTTACTTGTTTGACCTGTGCCAAGTCATTTAGTGGTTCTGAGCCTTAGTTTCTTCATCTGTCAAAAAAGGGGTAATAACTTACATCCTGATGTCACAGGGTAAGAAAATACTTTTCTAAGCCCTCTAAGCTTATAAAGTACATTGTATTATTCCAAATTACCCACTGATAACACTGACCATATACTTTTGTATTATCAATACCCTAAGTCAATGATTTTCAAATGTATTTAACTAGAAACCGGCTCTACAAAAAGTCTAAAGAATTTTCTATAACCACGACTATGTTTACTTTATGTCTGCTCTACCCATCTGTGGTTCAGCTCTAACTCCACAACAGGGTTTGGGGAAAACAATGCAATGGATTCCTTCTCTTCTGCAGCTGAAAGCCTTTCAATTAGACCATCTCTGTTTCAGTAAAATAAAATCAATAAAACATCCATATGGGTTTTAGTCTCACTGCAACCGCAGGAACCCATATTAAGTTGTCAATAGATCAAATACAGATGAATCAAATGAATTTTTATTAATTTAAAGTGCCATTTAGTTTCCATCCTTTCCAGAAATCGAATCTCGCTGTGCGCCACCATCACTAGCCATCTTTATCTACTTTGAACACCTCTGGCTTATTCCAGCCTCAGGGTACTTGCACTGGGTGTTTCCTTCACCAGGGCTGTGCTCTCCCTAACCTTCCCAAAGCATGCTGCTCATGCCTGCTTATTTATCTGAAGTTGTCTTTACTGTCATCACTCTACATCACATAACTGTTTTCTTTATATAGTTCTTATTATTTGAAATTTTGTTTACTTGTTTATTGCCTAACTTACTAAAATGTGGACCTTCATGTCTATTAACTGTTGTCAACCAGACAAAGAACAAAAACACCACCACTCTCCTAGTCAATTCAGAACCAGTCTACTTTGGAACTCTTCTAAATATATTCCCAAGTCATGGACTATTCTGACAATTAAGAGAAATGCTCACCTGTTGTTTGTTACTTTGGCAGGCTGCACTTAAGTGCTTAAACCACAGCATTGCATTCATTCTATTGCCAGCTTGAAACTTGTATGAATTTCCTAAAATTATCCAAACAAGGGAAAAATAATAAAATTTGAGGACTATGACACATAATAATTCTGCCAGATATTAAAGAGCACACATGACTAGAGTTCTCAGTTTCAGAATTCTATTCACTAAATACCTGATTTTCCAATACGATAGAGTTCTTGATGTAAAACATCCACATGCTATCATATAGTCAGAAACTCACTGTTTTGCTAATTATGAATTAGAAAGAATAATTTTATCTGTCTCAAGTTTTTTTGTTTTTGCATTGGAGTCTTACTCTGTGGCCCTGGCTGGAGGGCAGTGGCACACTCACAGCCACCATAGTCTCAACCTGCTGGGCGCCAGCGATCCTTTCACCTCAGCCTTCCAAGTAGCTGGAACTACAGGTGAGTGCTACCACAGTCCTGCTAATTTTTTGATTTATTGTGAAGATGAGGTCTCGCCAAGTTGCTTGAGCTGGTCTCGAACCTGCGGGTTCAGGCAATCCGCTCGCCTCGGCCTCCCAAAGTGCTGGGATTACAGGCTAAGCCACTGAACCCGCCTCACCCCCCCTTTTTTTCTTTTAGATGATGTCTCGCTATATTGCCTGGGCTGGTCTTGAACTTTTGGGTTCAAGCAATTCTCCCACCTTGGCCGCCCAAAGTGCTAGGATTGCAGGTGTGAGCCATCGTGCCTAGCCCTAAATGTTCTTTAGAATAAAGCACATCTAAATAAAATAATTGTGTGGCTTCTCTTGATTTATATTAATAAGACTAAAGAATACTGGTTCAGGCTGGGCTCAGTGGCTCAGCCTATAATCCCAGCACTGTGGGAGGTTGAGGCGAGTGGACTGCCTGAGCCCGCGGGTTTGAGACCAGCCCGGACAACTTGGCGAGACCTTGTCTATATAATACATCAAAAATTAGCCGGGTGTGGTAGTGCGTGCCTGTAGTTCCGGTTACTTGGAAGATTGAGACGGAAGGATCACCAGAGCCTAGCAGGTCGATGCTGGGGTGGCCGTGAGTGCGCCACTGCACTCCAGCCTGGGCGACAAAGTGAGACGCCAACTCAAAAAAAACCACAAAAAACACACACACACACAAAAGAATACTGGTTTTTAATACTATTTAGATGACCTAAATATTAGTAGATGTTAATATTAAGATTTGATATGCCCAATGCTCCAGTATGTTTAACACATAAACATTAGCTATTAAATAGGAGTAAGAATTAATCAGATAATATTTATAGTGGCTATGACTTTAGTCTTTAGTTATAAAACATTTGTCAAGATTATTACAGATTTATAGTTCTGTTGAGAGATCTCTGGGAAAATCTAGGAGGCATCTTTGTCTCTTTTAGGAAATTCAAAATTCATCTGTGCCATGTGCATTTAGCAGTTCCTGTATAGACTTTATTCAAGACTGGCACACAACAATTATATTTTTTATGTTTGTATGTATTTTTTAACAGAGTATATTTATTTATTTACTTTTTTGAGTTGGAGTCTCAATCCATTGCCCAGACTGGAGTGCAGTGGCACGCTCACGGCCACTCCAGGGTTGACCTGCTGGGCTCTGGCCATCCTTCCACCTCACCTTCCAAGTAACCCGAACTACAGATGCACTACCACACCCGGCTAACTTTTTGATTTTTATTGTAGAGATGAGGTCTCACCAAGTTGCCTAGGCTGTTCTCAAACCCGTGGATTCAGGCAATCCTCTCACCTCAGCCTCCCAAAGTGCTGGGATTACAGGCTTGAGCCACTGCGCCCATGGTTGTATGTATTAAGGTGAGTAGGCAGGAAAGGATTCACGTGCTATAGGCTGCTCTAAGCTTTATTCCCTTTTTTCACTGACCCAGGTTCTTTTTTTTTTTTTTTTTTTGAGTTGGAGTCTCACTCTGTTGCCCAGGCTAGAGAACAGTGGCATGATCATGGCCACCACAGCCTTGACCTGCTGGGTTCAGGTGATCCTTCAGCCTCAGCCTTCCAAGTAGCTGGGACTACAGACATGTGCCACTATGCCTGGCTAATTTTTTTTATTTATTGTAGAGACAAAGTCTTGTCATGTTACCTAGGCTGGTCTCGAACTCTTGGGCTCAGGCAATCCTCTTGCCTCCACCTCCCAAAGTGTTGGGATTACAGGTGTGAGCCACTGCGCATGCTTCAAGTTCTTTTTATTTCACAATTTTTGCTAGATTCTATTCTTTCCTTTATAACTGCATTCAATGACTCAAGTTCCTAACTATATGAGCATGATGCAACTTTTCATTGAGATCTCAACACTCAAAGAACTTTTTTTACCGTGAAGAACTTTTTTTGGTGAAGCAGTTCTTTCTTCACCAAATGCATAATTAGTCAAGTAATATTTTGCTTGCTGAACTCAGAAGCAGACCTCAGATCAACCTAACTAGAAGGCAGTATTTATAATTAAGCTGATCACAGCTACAATTCACCTACTTACTCCTCCCAAAAAGACCTATTAGTATGGCTTCATAAAAACGTTGGCTATCTGAAGTATTTCTATCAGGCATGCTAAGAAAAACTGAAGAAAAATTTGTTAACCAACTGAAAATGATCTTATTTGAAAAGGTAATTTTATGAATTATGCCTTTGGTATTGTTGGGGGCAAGAGGGTCTATAGCTTTGAATTCAGAATGTTGAATAGAGAAAGCTGTTACTCTGTAAACGAATCTACTTAATCTAAAAACAAGACACCTTGGCATTATTATTTTTTTCCTGCATCCAACATAATTTGCTTACTTGTTTGCTTTTTTACTTAAAACACTGTAATATTCTAAAAATAGAACATATGTTGATACAAAAATAGCATCTGAATAAACAGAGGTCAAAATATAGCTGTAAAGTTAAGGAAAGGTGGCACAGTATTTCAGCTGTGAGTTGCTAGAGTGGGAGATTCTGGGGCAGGTATGAAAGAATCTCCTTTCTGGCACATTCAACAGCTGGCAGCTGTGATGAAGGAGTGTAGCCACCCCATAAGGATCTCTCCCCATGGACCCTAAGGTACCTGCTGAGGACAGGCAGTTGAGAGGTATGGAGTGATTCTACACAGCCCACCCCCGAGTTGTCCCATCCACTTTACAAACGTCAGTGGTCAACAGCCAATTATTTTTACTGTATGTAAAGTCTCATAATTAATTTGGAAAGTGACTTGAGTCAAATAACCAACTAATTTAAAGTAATGGAATAAATATCATTTAGAGGAAATCACTGTCACTTCCAGAACTCAAGAATAACCATCTATTTTGAGGTGTAAATGAGAGGTACTGCCCATATGGCAAGTCTCAGGAAATTTAGGAAGAGTGGGCTCTATGTTCTCACATTCCCTCCTGCCACCCGCCCTTCCTGGTTAGTTCTCTAGGGATTAGCTGGGTTTTTACTTTTCAAGTTTATGCCCATGTAGCAAATAAATTAAGCTCTAAAAATACTGGTACTATTAAAATTCATTATGAGATAAAAATATCTCCCAATAGATAAAACTACACAAAACACTTCTCTTCTTGAGTATTCCAGTTAAACTAGGTTTTGGCTCATTGGTAATGCATGTGCAGTATCTTAAACCCCATTTATTCTAACAATTAACCTTTCTCAGAGTCAGTAAGCAGGAAGAGATCTGGGTGTTCTGGGTCATCAGCCATCATCACCATCCATCCCACCACAGATACGTTCTTATTTGATGTTGATTTGAACTGAAAGATAAAAGATAATTAGTGGAAACAAAATTTATGGCTTGTTCTAAGCAAAAATGGTTAGGGAGTGTATTTTCAATTTGTACTAATGAGAGATGAGATTTGTGACTTCATGCTAGTCCCAGTCAGGTTGGGGCCTTTTCCTGCTAAATTCCATCTAGGCACGCCCTCTTTAGACAATCTCCTACTTTCCAGATTCCCAGCTTCAACTCCTTATAAAATCTAACTGTCCTATTCTCCACTTCTGGAGACCACGATCGATCTGTTAGTGAATTTGATAAGTGCAGTTATGTTGTTTTTCCTGAATTACTAAGTTATCCCTTACAGGAAACACTACTATACTTTTAGTAGCTGTATTATTTTAAACTTGGTGCTTTAATAAATCTGCAGTGCTATCAGACAATTCTTAACAGTATCTTTAATTGTATTAAAAATGTCTTTTTTTCATTGTCTTTAGTTCTGTGCCGTATCTCTTCTATCCCCATATTAATACTAAATATAGACATGTATCTGTCTCTATATTGTCTATCCTGCTCTTGAAATTTATCTCTAATCATAAAAGTTTTAGTTAGAAAAGATGGGAAATACAGTGCATTTCCTTGGTACTCAACTTGATTTTCTTATAACCCACTATTCTTTAATTTGTAAACAATTCGTATACACTATTTATCTAAAATCTCATATAACAAAACTATACTCTATTACTAATCTGTGTAACTTTGTAGGGTATGTGGGCAGTATAGTCAATTTGACCAGAATATTAAAAAATACACATTCACAGAGCAGATCTATCTCCATGATCACTCACTCAGTCCTTTCGCTCAATGCAAGAGCCATCTCAACAATTACAACATAATAGTGAGCAAAAAAGCTACTACTTAAGATATATATGGATCCTTTCAGGTACAGTTCAAAAATGAAACAATGTATTCATGAGGGACACATACATGGCACCACTCTAAAGAAAAGCAAGGCAATGAGTACCATGAAGTCCAGGACACAGGCAGATTGTGGGTATGGCTGATAAGGAAGGCAATGCCTCTATCTTATGGTATGTCTCACATTCACCTAAACAGAAAATGTCTTTTTCTCTACCTTTGGTTGGATTAAAGGGCTAAAATTATAAGAAAAAAGAAGTTTCTCTAAATTACACTGTATCATTTGGGTAATTTATAAGTAGAAAAATGACTTACCTTTTTCTTTACTGGCTTACCTTTCCTCAGTAGGGTAAGCTACTTAATTTTTCCCCAAAATTATATTACTTAGAAATAAAATTCCTCTCAAAGAGATTTTATTAATGTAAAATAGAAAATTATTCTTCCTTTCAAAGACTGTTTCACTGGTGTGCAAAAACAAAATGGCAGGTAAAAGATTTACGAGATGATTTTACATGGTGCAGAGCTTTGAGAGACTTCTTTTGGCTAACATGAAGCACAAGAAAGCTGACTGTGTAACTACTGTGATCACTCATTCCTCTTCACTGTTGGGAAAAGTCAGTGAATCAGAGACTGAGGTGGAAAGAACTTTAGATGTTGGTCCCCAATTTTCACATTTGCTGATTGGGAACTGAGACTCCAAGGCAATAGTTTTGATTCATGTTCTGAACCAGAAACACAGGTCTGAGAAAGCTTTGATGCCAAGAAAGACAACTGTAATGTGCAGTTTTGACATCTGCAATGAAAAAAATGGTATTCAAAAAAGAAACTCTGAAACCATGAAAAAATATGGAAGCTATTCCATGACCTTCCTTGAGATGGTCTTACTAAATAAAAATAATTCCATTACAGTATTCATACAAGGAATATGTATAAGAACTTCTGGATTAGAAGATAAGAAAAAACCCAAAAATAACCCCCCCATCTCATTAGGACGACTTTTTTTACAACCACCAACTATGCTAAAAATTTAGAGAAGGAATACTTACATGTTTTCTTTCTGTAGCCTTTAGAGATTTGGCAGCATAGTAAAAAAGCTGTGTCCCACACAAAGCTGCCCAGTATTTTGTCCATGATGCTACCTGGAGAGGACAAACACATAAACACACTCTTACAAGGCTCTTGGCTTTTCAGATTCTTGACCTTCTTGGGGTCAATGATCAACCCCACCTCACTTCAGCCATTGAAGGCTCAACCTTAGAGTTGAGGTGTATCACTTCTGAAATCTTCATCCCAAATATTCCTGTCATTTCCAGCTAATACATTCTAGCATTCTCATTCAGATACTTCTTTTTTTATTATTATTTTTTTTGAGTTGGAGTCTCACTCTGTTGTCTAGACTGGAGTGCAGTGGCCGCTCCCGGCCACCGCAGCCTCGACCTGCTGGGCTCCAGCGATCATTCCACCTCAGCCTTCCAAATAGCCAGAATTACAGGCACGTGCTACCACTCCCGGTTCATTTTGATTTATTGTAGAGATGAGGTCTCACCAAGTTGCCCAGGCGGGTCTCGAACCTGTGGGCTCAGGCAATCCACTCACCTCAGCCTCCCAAGGTGTGGGATTACAGGCTGAGCCATCGAGCCCGGCTCAGATACTTCTTTATCTCATCAAGAACTCTACCACTTTTGAATACTGTCTAGTATTGCCACCACCCCAATATTATATCCCCCTTCCCTTTCTTCCTATCCAGCTTATATTCCATGATCCAGAACATATTCATTCCCTCCCAAGTACTTTCATTCCATAGCCCCTCTTCCCCAATAAAACCCGAACACTAGTCAAATCGAACTATCTGATTACTTGGCACATCACAGTAGTTGAATATTGCTGGAGAAAATCACACAATTGTGCAAACTGATAAAACTATGATCACCAACCTCAAATGAAAGTAGTACTTTCCTTTTACTCAATGAAATCATTACACTCTTTCTGAAGACAACTATTTGATAACTTTCCCTCAAAATTTTAATACTCCACCCCCAGTGATATCATTGCATACTCCCTAGAGAAAAACAGATGAAATCTGGTGAGCTCCTGACAGACCTCAGACTTAAAAAACAAAACAAAAACAACAAAAAAGTGGAATCTGGAATCTGATAACCACCTCCAATCTTCCCAGCACCAATTCCACCTAACTACCTGTTTGCAGACACACATACTCAGCCTTTTTTACTGCTACAACAGAATAGTTAACCCTGCTTCTATCTAGAGACAAACACAAATCTCCTTTTATGCCCTAGATTCACTCACCTCCTTAAGAAATGTGTTTGCAACGAACTCTTCTCTTCATTACCTTCAATCTCTCTCCCTCTACCATCATTATACAAATGAGCCTTAATAAAACTCCCATCTTTAAAATCCTTCCTTTGACATTTATCATACTACTACATGAAAGGAATTGGCAGTAGCAGGTCACTGCCGGGGTGGGAGGAGGTGGTGGTGGGGTGACACATCACACTAATAAGGGTACCTGGTCTCAAACCAGGCAAAGTAAAGACCAATGGGAGGCCCAGACTTCACCTATATGATGACCATTTATGTATCTAACCCTTTATGTACCCCACAACTTTAAATTAAAATAAAATCCCTCTTTTGACCCACTCCCATCCAGTTTCCCTGTTCCTTTTCACAGTCTAGCTTCTCATGAGGTTGTCTCTAATTCTTGCCTCTAATTCTATTTTACCCATTTATATTCCATTTACTTCATTTGGCTTTTGGGCTGAGAACACTGCTCTCAAGGCCGCTGGAGACTCTAACTTTACCAAAGACTCTGTCCTCATCACAGTCAGCCTCTTAGCAGCATCTGATCCAGCTGGCCACCCCTTCCTTCTAGAAGTACTTTAACTGCTGGGCTTCTGGGATAACAGCTTCCATTTCGTTTACAATCTTCTTTGTATGAGATCTTTAATGTTACAGAGCTCTCTATCTCCAGCTTTCTCTTCTTCCCAAGCTACACTTTCTTCATAGATAAACTATCTCACTCAGTTCCATACTTCAAATACTATCTATCTGTAGCTAATGACTCCTGAATCTCTATCCCTGAATACATCTCTTGAACTGTACTTTTTCAAGAGCCAACATGACATTTCAACTTGACTGTTTAATAACTACATCAAACTGGACTTGGCTAAGACTTACCTGCCCCCCATTTCAATAAATGCCCCTAACATCCACCCAGCTCAGCCCTCAAACATACAAGTTATTCTTCCTTTCCACTCTTTCTCTTACACATCACATCTAGTATCTCATCAAGCAGACTCTAGCTCTTTTCTCTGACCCCATCTCCTCCACCTTCCCCAATTTCAATGTTCCACTACACAGGCCTTCTTGTCTCCTGAACCCTAGGTCTTCACAAGGCTAATTTACCTTCCACTCAGACCTCAGCTCACATGCCTCACTATGGGGCCATCCCTCCTTACTCCATCATTCTGCGCCCTAAGGCCTTATTCTAATGGCACAGACTCCATTTCTCTTCACTGGATGTAATCCCCAAGGCAGGCACTTTGCCTGGTCTTGTTCACTGCTCTGTTTCTAGCACCTGGCATACAATACGCATGGCAACACCTCAACGGACTGCAATTCTTAGCTTACTCGCTGGCCTAGTATAGCTTCTTGATTGTACACGCCTTTGGTTTACCGTGAATAAGCAGCAAAATAAGATTATTTAGATGAAAACCATTGTTATGTTTTAAGAAGCCCCTTATCTTCAAAAGTTTTAAGTGTAGCTATATATAATTATTTCAAATTTGAGAAAATAAAAATTTTAGTAGTCAAACTACTATGCTAGTGTTGAGGAAGAATAAACTTTTTTGTTACAAAATGAAAAGCTTTGTTCCACCACTTTTTTCTTTTTTTCCCCCCAATAAAGTCATGGTTTGGAAAGCATTTAATATTTGGATTCTACTTTGTGTAGAAAAACATAATTATATTACAGAGATTTAAATAAACCCATGAAATAAAATTAGTTTGGTTCCATTTTTTAGGGTTGCTACTTTCTATTTTCCATTTTTCCTACACTTATTACTCAAATACTTTTGAATGATATACTTCAAGAGTTCTCTAAGAAACAATTTTCCATAAGAACTATAAGGTGGGGTAGGCTGGAAGTCGTGGCTCAAGCCTGTAATCCCAGCACTTTGGGAGGCCAAGGCGAGAGGAATGTCTGAGTACTGGGGCTCGAGACCAGTCTGGGCAACTTGGTGAGACCTCATCTCTACAAATACCAAAAAATTAGCTGGGCATGGTAGTGCATGTCTGGTTATTTGGAAAGCTGAGGCAGAAGGGAGGGGCGATGTTAGAGTAGCCATTAGTGTGCCACTGCACTCCAGCCTGGGCGACAGAATGAAACTCTGTCTCAAAAAAAAAAAAAAAAAAAGAACTATAAGGTGGGATCAAGTACAGGAGTACCTGGATTTAAATACCCTTCATATATGATTCAGCTGAAATCTATATGGCAGGTATAATAACACTTTAGGAAACATGGCAAGGTACATGTGTATAGCAGTTATCCTTTTATCTGTGATTTCAGTTACCCATGGGCAACCATGATCTGAAAATATTAAATGGAAGATTCCAGAAACAAACAATTCATAGGTTTTAAACTGCATGCTGCTCTGATCTGTCCATCCTGGAAGGCAGCTCATCCCTTTTTTTGTCCAGCATCTCTACACTGTCTATGGTTCCTGCTGCCCACTACTCTCTCAGTAGCTGCCTTGTTATCAGATCAACTCATGGTATGTTGGTGCTTGTGTTCAAGTAACCTTTACTTTACTTACTAATACCTCAAAATGCAAGAACAGTGATGCTGGCAATTTGGATATGCCAAAGAGAAGGCTTCCTTTACATGAAAAGATAAATGTTTTTGACTTAATAAGGAAAGAAAAGTCATATGGTAAGGTTGCTAACATCTTTGGTAAGAATGAATCTTTTATCCATGAAATTGTAAAGAAGAAAAAAGAAATTCATTCTGGTTTTGCTGTTGCATCTCAAATGGCAAAAGTTACGGCCACGGTATATGATAAGAGCTTACTTAAAATGGAAAGGGCATTCAATTTGTGGGTCGAAGACAAGAACAGAAATGTGTCCCAATCAGGTTTGGTTTCAGGCACCTCTGGGGGGATCCTGAAACATATTGCCTAAGGATGAGGGTGGACTACTTTATTTTAAATTATTTCAAGTCTACTATTATCTTAGTACTTTTAGGATCTTACATATTTGCATTATTTTAATATATAATAATATAATATGCTTTAAAATATAATACAATAAAATCTTACTGTAGGCTTTTTGCCTTCTTTTAACAAAGTTTTTCTCCTGAGAACACCTTGAATAGTAACAGCTCCTGGATATAAATGTACTGCCAAATCTTCTGACTCTGCAGAACTATAATAATGGAATGAAGAAAAGAACGTGTAAGAGCTTTTGTCTAAAGAAGTCATCAAGTAGTACTTTAGTAAAACGTAATTATTATTAATTTTGAAACTTTGTTACTTTACTCAGAGCTGAGAAGACATTGACAATTTTAAAGGTTTACCAATCTGAAATTTATAAATGGTCACGAAAGTTAATCAGGAAGTTATTAAAGTCAGCAGATGGTTAAAAAACACACTTCATTACATATTTAACATGTATAATTTAGAAAAAACATATAGTAATTCATTTTAGTAGAGATAAAATTACAAATTATAAGATTTTTTTCTTCTTCTTAACATGCCACACTGCATCACTGTTGTAACCTTATTTTCCCCATTAGAAACTAAGTCCTGGTAGGAAAGATGAGGATTTTATTTGTTAAAAGTACTTAAGTATATAAAACTGAAAATAAAAATAGCAGAATCTCAAAAAGGAAAAAAGGGAAAAAAAGAGAAAACCTACACTTAATTTAATTCTAAAACAGCAGAAAGAAGTAATAAAGGCAACAATATATATTTTAAAAACCTAGCTTTCTGCAGTAAATTCTAATGACATCTTAATGCTGTCAATGTATAAGTACTTGAATATTGCCTAACAGCTCTCCAAGAAAAGAATCACCCCAAAACTCAAGATTTCTTTCTCACATCTTTTAAAAAAAATCATAAAACCAATATTTAAATATCTTTCCCCAATTGATTTAAGGTCTTATTTTTAAAACAAGAATAATAAAAAAAAAGAATAATTTCCTCATGAGTCAATTAAACAAACACACTGATAAAAACGTCATTCTCTGGTGATTTGACACGAGATGCAGAATTTTACAACAGCCAAGAAAACTTAAGTTTGCCAGTTTATTCCTTTGTGATTATTTAGGTGTCTTCAAAGTGACTTAAAAACCTGGAAACCAGTAAAAATTTCATGCTAGAGCTATTTATTTATCTTCAGGAAGGTATATACAAGATTAGACACCATCAAAGTGACACAAAGTTTGCTTCTAAAGTTTGCTATTTTGTTGTGTTATGAATTAGCTGATTATTCATTATCATTCAACACCATGTCCCCAATCAATGTACCAAACTCATTTGCCTCCACAGTTATTATAGTGCAGAAAGAGACCTAGTTTAACTAGATGAACAGATGAATGCGTATGAGTTTAAATATACAAATATTACTTAATGAAACAGACTTGTCTAAATTCAGGACCTGTAGTCTATCTGAAAAGTTTTTTAAAAAGACAAATCAATTGCAGATTTATTAGCAAAACAAAAACTTTGATTGCAGCGTCTGAATAATAAGCAGATTTTTATACTGCTCATCCCCAAACCTGAAGCATTAGAAAGACCTGTGTAGTTAAAAGGCTACCAACTTGGAAATATTTTAAAACTGTGATGTAAGATGCAAGTTTTAGCAATTAGCTCTGCAGATCAGAAAGAATAGTTCAAATTTATCTCCATAATAAATCTTGGAAAGAAGGTTTTTCTGCAGATCAGAAAGAATAGTTCAAATTTATCTCCATAATAAATCTTGGAAAGAAGGTTTTTCTGGGCGATTTGTCTAGTTTTTAAATCAATTAGTTGAGAAAGCACAGAAATAATGTCAAACCACACCCACGTAAGCCAATCACCATCACCAGAGCAGAGGACTATGACCCCTGAGTGCAGGGGAGTTGTACCTGCTGGCCTTCATGTGGCTGCGATAGCCATTTCGTGCCACTCTTGTCACCGGGCCGAGAGAATGGTATAATCTGTTCCTGTTGGATTCCATTATAAATTGTACATATTACATATACTTTTATTCACACAATCATCATCAATACCTGTAACAGTATAAGTTTCTTCATGTAATATGGCTTTCCAAATATTACAAAAGGACAGTACACGACTGCTCCTTTCTTTTTTAAAGTATACAGCATACATTAACATTTTTTCTTTTACTATTGACTCTATAAATACTTGTAGGTGTTTAGTACATACCGTACATATATATATTCACTTTCACATACCTGCACAAATAATTAAAGAGCTATTTATAGCCACATAATACAAAAACCTGAAAAATGTTTCAAAAATCCTTATGTTCCTATTCTACTTCTTGCATTTCAGTTTAAATATGATGTCTGGATTTATATAAATAGTTCACTTTTATTACATGTCCCTATGAAGACACCTAAAAGCAATGTGGCTTGTAAACTTAAAATTAAAATGAGGAAAACTTTATTTTTCTCTTTATCCTTTGTATTTTGAAAAACCAATAAAGGAGACGAATGAAGTGATATAGGTATTACATTATTTCTGTTACAACTAACAAAGCCAATACATGATAACAACCATATGATGTTTATCTAAAATAGCATATGATACCTAACACAAAGGAAACAGACATAAAAAAATTAATACTTTTCCGCCTGAAAAAACCCAAAACTAGTACTGTTGATGCATGATATTGAAAAGAAAAAGCATTATTTCGGCAATGTAAGCAACAACACATTTGCTGTCTCTTTAAAAAATAAGAAAATGGCATGTTAACATTCAGAGTACTGTTTTCAAGTTCATTATCCACAAGTAGTATTTTAAATACTAGTTCTTGATTCATTTTCTATTATTTAATGTCTGAATCTTGTTGGGCAGAATGCAATTTAAACTGTTCTCGAAGTGTTCCAAGAGCCACTGGTCTAAGTACAGTAGATTTTGTAGCTGCAAATGTCTGCAAAGCAAAACATTCATCACAAAAGAAAAATACTGTTTTTAGACACGAAGACAACACTGTTAAAAGACTGTCTTCTGAAGTAAACTGCTAGGAGGAGAACAGATTATTTAACACAACACCATTCTGGTTACTCGTCTATAGCTCAAGCAATCTAAGAAACAATTTGGTTAATCAATATTTTTTATATAAAGATTGCAATACACTCGATAATCAATATGCAGTGGTATTATGCTCTTTCTAAAGGGAAGAACAATTTGTACAAATTCAGAGAGCATTTCAGAGGCAACTCCTATGTTTTCCCATTTCAGGCAAACCCAGATAAAGAGATTAAAAGTAAAAGTTGGAAGATAAATAATATGTAAAAATGAATCGTTAAGAATCCTCCTAAACAAAGAGAATACAACCTGGAAACACTGATAATTAAAGTAGAAAGGATCAAACATACTTTGCAATGTAGGGCTCATAAATGAAATCTTAATCACATAATGGTGAGACATCTTTATAAAGTTTCATCAGGGATAACGATCTCATTTTCCAATTAAACAGCACAAAGTTAACCATATACAATTTAATTTCAAGTTGTTTTCTATTAAGAAATGACTGATAGGGAGTTAGGTAATTAAATATTTTCAACTTCAGTGTTAATATTGACATTCAACATTCAATCTAAATGACCCTCTTGCTGAGTAATAAATATAGGCATTTTTAGAAACTTAGCTGCTTTGTTTATATACAAAAAGGAGCGATTATTTTGGTCAAGAGTCAAATATCTTATGAGTCTGAAAATGACAGAACTGAAATGGTCAGGGATAACGTAAGCATTCTAATGGATGCTAAGTAAATAACAATTATTTGCACTGTTTGCCTATGTTCTTTGGGAAGTCTTGCATATATCTGAAGATCGATATTGTAAGATATTTGCTGCAGGCAGATGGCTTTTACAGCTTAAAGCAACAAAGAAAGGAGAAAGGAGCACAATTCATAGTATTTCAGTATAAATCTGTACCCTATAAATTTTGAGTTCATGACAACTTAAATCCAAACTTCAAGCTGCTTTATTTACAGTATAATTTAAAATTTATTAAGTCACTTTGCCCTTAACAGGGCAAAGACCACTTAAAAAATGTTTTAAAATTACTTAAATGAACCAGGACTTAAGGAAATAATTTTATTTTTGAATACATAAGTAAGTAACTTGAATATGATTAGTTAATTTTAAATTACAATTTTAAATGTACTAAAATTAGTACAAATTTAAATGTACTAAAACACATGTGTCATGCCACCAAATAAATATTTATAGATAAGACTATATCAATCCTTCTTGTTACTTATAATTCCAGACTTAAATATCAACTTTGAATTTCTTCTATCAGCAGGAAACTTAAATCATTTCTTATGGATATGTAACAAATATTATATCTTAAAATTCACACTGTCATATACTTTATGACAAATAAAATAAGCTCAAAGTAATTCAGATGGACAATAACTCTTACCTTTCAAAAGCAGGCCATGAGGTTTCTTCACTTAGTTCAGAACCATCACTGCTACCTAAAAATCAAATTATTCTATTTTGTAAACATCAAAATTACTTTTCTGGTTTAGATTTTATATTTTAAATATACATTTGCTAACTGTGCTCATAAAGTGACATTCACATTGTGGGTAAACATTCACATATTTATTCTTTATTCTAATATTACTGCTGCTAGGTTTACTTGAAATATATGGGAATGTAGTTGACAAGACTATCTAAAATAACAAAATAGTACAAAACATTTTTGCATGTCTAATTATAGCTCAAATTCATTATGTCACTAAGCAAGTTTTCCTATCAGAAAATGTAAAACAGCACAAAATGTTTCTTATTATGTTTATCATAATTTAGGACTAATATAATTATAAAATCCTCAGAGGTTCATGGCATAGTTCTTTCCCTATTTTAACGTATTAAAATCCATTGCTACCCTAAGGAAAATAAGCTTAATGAAATTCAATTCTTTGCCTTTAGAAAAGACTGAAGAGGATGAAATCCTTAAATTAAAAAAAATAAAAATTGATGGAAATGTAATAACTTTCTCTTTGGCCAGAAGATCAGTTAAAATGGTCTTTAATAGAGGCTTAAAATTAGCTGGAAAAACAAAACAAAACAAAAAAACAAAAACAAGAAAACTGAGGAGAATGAATTTCATTAAAAAAACAGCCTAGTTAACCAGACACAGTGGTTCAAGTCTGTAATCCCAGCACTTTGGGAGATGCAGGCAAGAGGATTGCCTGTGCCCACGGGTTTGAGACCAGCCTGGGTAACATGGTGAAACCTCGTTTCTGCAATAAATAAAAAAATTAGCAGGGTGTGGCAGTGCACGCCTGTAGTTCCAGCTACTTGGAAGGCCGAGGCAGAAGGATCTCCTGAGCCCAGCAGGTCTAGGCTGTGGTGACCATGTGCATGCCATGCAACTGTACTCCAGTCTGGGCGACAGAGTGAGACTCCAACTCAAAAGAAAAAAAAAAAAAATAGCTTAGTTGACTAACAGTTATTTCAAAGACAATTCTGGCTCTCAACAAAATTAGGATTAACATGTCAAGTTCAACTGTCTTATCAGACTTTTACAACCAGGTTTCTAAGAGAGTCTTAGATTCTAATGCTGTAAGGTCTCCATTAGATGTGACAGATAACACCTCTTCTATCGGTTTGGAATGCCACCAGTTATGCACCATCCTTGGATTAACTGAGATAATAGTCACTGAAATATTTTTCTTATGGTGTAGTTCATTTCAGGAACCAGAGGGAATCTGTTGTTGTTGTTGTTGGAGTCTTGTAGATTATCTTTTGATTTGTAGCACTATGTGGTAAAGGTTGAAAATTTAAGCATGATTAGTATAACTTATTTGTAGAAAAATATAAGCTCTTCCAGAAGCATAAAGTTCAGAGAGGATATTCCTCCCTTAGCTAGCTAGGCAAGACTACTCTAGGTTATCTAGGACACAGATAACACATTAGAAAATGTCTGAGGTCACTGTTCCAAGCACTAGTCGATTTTTCTACAGCACTTTTTTTTTAATAGGAGTCTCACTCCGTCACCCAGGCTGGAGTGCAGGAGCACGCTCATGGCCACCCCAGCAGCAACCTGCTGGGCTCCAGCGATCTTCTGCCTCAGCCTTCCAAGTAGCCAGAACTACAGGCGCGTGATACCACGTCCAATTAATTTTTTGATTTATTGTGGAGATGAGGTCTTGCCAAGTTGCCCAGGCTGTTCTCGAACCCGTGGGCTCTGGCAATCCCCTCATCTCAGCCTCCCAAAGTGCTGGGATTACAGGCGTGAGCCACCGCGTCCCCGCTCCTGGCCTTCCACAGTATTTTTATTTTTATTTTTATTATTTTTTTTGAGTTGGTGTCTCATTCTGTCGCCCAGACTGGAGTGCAGTGGCTGCTCCTGGCCACCGCAGCCTCGACCTGCTTGGCTCCAGCGATCCTTCTGCCTCAGCCTTCCGAGTAGCTGGAATTACAGACATGCGCTACCACGCCCGGCTAATTTTTTGATTTATTGTAGAGATGAGGTCTTGCCTGCCCAGGCGGGTCTCGAACCCGCGGGCTCAGGCAATCCACTCACCTCAGCCTCCCAAAGGCGCGGGATTACAGGCTGAGCCACCGAGCCTGGCTGCTATTTCTATTTTTTAAAAAGAAATAAAGGAAGAAAATGTCTTCTTCTGTGATTAAGCTCCAGATTGTTCAAGGGCTGAACCTACTATTGCTAATATAATCTCAATATCAATGAACAGCTAATAGAAAGAGATTCATTTTCAACCTGCTGGACTAAGGTGATCCTTTGACCTAAGCCTTCCAAGTAGCTGGAACTACAGGTGCATGCCACCATGCCTGGATAATTTTTTGATATATTGTAGAGATGAGGTCTCACCAAGTTTCCCAGGCTGATCTTGAACCCCTGGGCTCAGGCAATCCTCTTGCCTCCACCTCCCAAAGTGATGGGATTACAGGCGTGAGCCACCACACCTGGCTCTCATTTTCAAATCTACTCCCATCAGGGCTTTGCCTTCACCACTCTATGAAGCAGCTCCTGTCAAGGGCACCAATAACTTTTACCTTGCCAAATACCCTGGTCAATTCCCCAATCTCATCTTAGTTCTCTTTTTTGCATTTGATATTGATATATTCAGCACTTTCCTCCTTGAGACACTTGAACACTGAGCTTTTGTGATACCACACTCTGCTTTTTTCTCCTATTTCACAGATCTCTCCTTTGCAGTTTCCTTTGATGGTCCATCCTTCTTTCAAAAAAATAATTTAATCTGACTTCTAAATGTGAGAATGTTTTTGTCTTACTTATTTACACTGTTTCCCTATGTGATCACAACCAGTTCCCATGGCTTGAAAGATTATAAAACATGCCATCTCTCATATTTTCAAACCTGATCTTAACCACTGAGCTCTAGATTCATACATTCAACAACCTGACATATCTATAAAGACTAAATATGCTCCGAACAGAATTCCTGATGCCCCAAACTCAGCCACTCTTCACAATACCTCACTGACCATACATGACTAATCTAGTCTTCCCAACGTTGGTAACAGTACCACCATCTAACTGCTTAATCCAAATAACTTGCAGTCATACTTTTCCTCAACCCCACATCTAAATTGCACGCAGTTTAACAATTCAACCAGCCCATGGTCTTTTCTCACCATTCTTCAAATGTCTCCCCATTTGAAATAAAAAACATCAAGCACATAAAGCCATCATGAATTCTTAACTTCATCCTTGAACTGCTTTTTTTCTGCCCTCTACCCCCACCCCCCAACTACTACTTTTTAACCAAAATTTCTCTATATATGATAGGGTTAATACATTTTTTCCAGTTATAGTTTGTTAAAATGTTCATTTGATGTTAAATTGGAATCCTCTTAAGGGGAAATATTTCTCACCTATTGATATTCCGCTAGAGAGAGTAGAACTTTCCGCGTGGCCTCGAGACGGTGCATGGGGCTCCATGACGCTATCATCCAACAGATGCCTTGGTCCTGCATTTGGGAACGTTGCACTCTTAAACTCTGCTGTGTTCATTTTATGAATAAAACTGGAAACAAAGAAATTTGTTTTATATCTTTGATCTTGTTACTAATTCAGGATATAAAACATACTCTTACATAAGATTTCGAATATAAAAAATTGCCATGTGCGGTGACTCAAGCCTGTAATCTCAGCACTTTGGGAGGCCGAGTTGAGAGGACTGCTTGAGCCCACAGGTTCGAGACCAGCCTGGGCAACACGGTGAGACCTTGTCTCTACAATATATCAAAAAACGCATGGTAGTGTGTGCCTGTAGTTCTGGCTACTTGGAAGGCTGAGGTGGAAGGATCACCTAAGACCAGCAGGTCGACACCGGGGTGGCCACAAGCGTGTTGCTGCATTGCAGCCTGGATGACAGTGTGCGACTCCAACTCAAAAAAAAAAAAAATTCACCTGCTATCTTGAACTTACTTCTGTGTTCTCATACTAATGAACACACAGATTCTGCCATGAGAGTCACAAATTAATAGTTTAGGAAAAATGTTTTAGGAAATGCACGTACATTTACCTTTATTACTAGAGCATACTGTAAATTAATTTCATCTTGAGCCTCAAGTCCATTAAAATTCACTTTTGAAGAGTAGTTGTTAAATTTTCACAAAAATCACGGCAGAAGAAACATGCGCCTTCATTTTGAAAAGCAACATTGTAAAACTAATGAAGCTAAGTAAAAAAATCAGTTTCCTTATATATCTTTAGAAATAAAGAGAATAATTTTTTATAGATCTTAATTTATAACTTATTTTGCTTAAGACAATGACTGTGCTGAGAAAAGGTTGCAATTTAAAAAGAAAATGGTACACTGTTATCCTGATTTTATTTATGATGGCTCTTTGTATTTATATTTCCCAAATATAAATGCATTGTTAAAAAAAAAAAAGCTCGGCTGGGCTCGGTGGCTCAGCCTGTAATCCCAGCACTTTGGGAGGCCAAGGCGAGTGGATTGTCAGAGCCCACAGGTTCGAGACCAGCCTGGGCAACTTGGCGAGACCTCAGCTCTACAATAAATGAAAAAAATTAGCCGGGTGTGGTAGTGCGCGCCTGTAGTTCCGGCTACTTGGAAGGCTGAGGCGGAAGGATCACTAGAGCCCATCAGGTCAATGCTGGGGTGGCCGTGAGCCTGCATGCCACTGCACTCCAGCCTGGGAGATGGAGTGAGACTCCAACTCCAAAAAAAAAAAGAGGTCATTTCCAAATTCAGGTAAAGGAAGAAATAAATGCAAATAAAAGATTCAGAATTTAAAAAAAAAACTATGCAAAGACACTATTTTCTGTTTAGCTAATAAAGTAAACAGACAATAAATCAAACTGCAAACATTTGAAAGATAAAATAAAAAATGCTGACTTATAACCCAAGCTATGGCACTTCCTATGTCCATGTGGAATCAGGTTGCGCGGGGATGGGGGTGTCTGCGGGAGCAAGGCTCCTTCAGCTGCCACACTTTTCCTTCCGCTCTGTGGCGATGCTCCAACTTCAGGACCTGCAGGTTGAGTGAGAGCAACAGCAACAGCAAGAGTGTGAACACAAGGTGAGAGAGAGAGAGATTTTCAAATGCTTTCAAAGGATTATTTTAGTTTTAATCCCTTGATATAAAATATTAAATGTAGTTTACATTTTTAAGACAATATTAATGGTTATTTTAATTGAATTGACTTGAAAATGAGAAATACTAATTTTACAAGTCCTAAAACACAAATTCTATCTTACATTCAATGCATAGAGGCAGTATAAATATTCTCCCCATTTATAGAGGAAGGAGAAGAAGAATTAGAAGAGATCAGCTCAGGATCTTACATCACAGACCAAACCTACACTAAATACCCAGGTCTTCTGAGTCCTCGGTTAGGGTATAGAAGGCTTCTTTACTCCTAGCATCATCTTTCTCTTAGGCAAAGAATGGGTTGGGTAGGTCAAACACTGTAGCTAGAAATTAAATCTATGCTGACATTGCTTATACTTGTGGTAATAATAAATAGAATTCAGAAGTATACAGATTTGTAAAATATTGCCTTAAGAATTAGGGCAACCCCTTTGGGTTCCTTCCCACTGTGGAAGCTTCTCTGTCCTCTCAATAAATCCTGCTTTCTAAAAAAAAAAAAAAAAAAAAAGGAATTAAAAGAAAAACAAATTTAAGAGATTTAATTTGAAAAGGTTTCCCCCTCGTTTGAATATTCTTACCCATAGATACTGTCATTATTTGTTCCCTCATTTCTTCACATCTTACTACATAAGTCTTCAAGTATTTTTAGAACATACAACATGAAACTTAATGTGAAGGTCTGTATTGGGAATTTTTTAAAAGGTATCTATCAGTGATTTCTTGAATAAAGAGTAATCTTCTTCATTTTTATGGTTTAAAAAAAAAAATTTGTGGTATACACATACTATCCCCATGATAATGTAACAGATGTGATTTTTATACTTTCAGAACTTGGCCCCAAAAGCTAAATCACTAAAATTGACTTCTATAATTATCAAAATTAGTAGAATTTCCCACTTACACCACAGAAATTTCTAGTGAACCAACAACGCTCATTGCCTAGGATAGTGCATTCCTAATTAAAAAACGAGTAGAACATTTTATAAACATTTATCTATTATTTCCTATCAAACCTGTTTTCTTGGATTGGTAGCATTTTTTTGGTACATTAATGATAAACTACAAACAACTTTTAAATTTAAAAACAAGAAAACCCAAAAAGAATTGACAGATTTTAATACCAAAATAAATTTTTGGATGAAGTATAAGATGTGCTAAGTTTTTATTTACTTTGGTGTATATTCTTTCTTATTAGGTTAACTGATTTATTATTTGGTAACGAGAAAAAACTGTACTAACCTACTAAATCTTCCCTGGAAGCAGCAGAACGTGGCGTGCTTGTCCCTGGTTCTATCTTTAATGAAAGCCTGAATTAAAAAAAAAAAAACACATGAAATGATTAACACTTGACAAAATCATATTAAGCAATCTGAGTTATACATTTTCCCTCAAGAGCAATCTTTAACTAAGATGTTATCTTTCATACAAAGCTGATCTTATGGCTATCCTGGGAAATATTATGGGAAAAATTTAACAATTTTTAATATTATTAAAAAGTTGTATTTAGTTGGACGTGTTGGCTCACGCCTGTAATCCCAGCACTTTGGGAGGTGGAAGTGGGAAGACTGCCTGAGCTCAGGGAATCAAGACTAGCCTGGGCAACTTGGTGAGACTTCATCTCTACAATTAAAAAAAAAAAAAAAATCAAAAAATTAGCCAGGTGTGGTGGCACACGTCTGTAGATCCAGCTACTTGGAAGGTTCTCCAACTACCCCAAAGCTGCTAAACAATTCATCACATTGAAAGCATTTGATGAATGATTAAAAGATGCTTTGACTTGAGCTTACATTGATACATGACCCTTAAATTCAGGAACTTTCACATATATTATTTAATATATTATGCAAATTATTTATAGAATCTTTACTGGATAGGCTATCGGTTTGAGTGTAACACTGAAAAATTTAAAAACATCTTATCTAAAAGCAACCATTGAAAAAACCAACTAATGCAACTCTTCAAAAGAAAGATCTATACTAATAAAGAGGTTGTTTGTGAAATTCCTAGTAAATCCCTGTCCTAAGTGAAAGTTTATTAGTTGGTTACTTAAGCTCTATTTAGGATAAAATATCCAGTTTTGAGTTCCGCAGAAAAAGAGATTATGATTCCTATCAGCAGAAGCTATTTCAGGAAAAAGGATACTAAAGCAGTTGTAGAAAACGCTTTGATGTAATATATGAAGCCTAATATTGCTAAAAATTTGTCTGAAAATTAATAATTATTACTTAGCATTCTGCCAACTGGAATTTTTAATGAAATTGCACAATATAAGTGGCATTCATAATGATAAATCTACTGTGGGTTCTTAAATTATTTCTTTGATAACCTAGGAGGGAATTAAACATCATGATCTTCCAATTATTTGACAACGGAAAATGCATATACGGGATGGGATGCATGTTTAATTGAACGCTGTTCTTTTCCTTTTTATAGAGATGTTTACTTCAATAATTTATGTTATAGACTATACTGCATTAATTCATTTGATAAGTAATTATTGAACACCTCTTTTTGAAGTGGGCACTGAACTCAGAACTGGAATATAACAGAGACTAAGGCAGTCATGGTGTCTCTGTCCTTCTGAAGCTTACGTCTAGTGGGTGAAAGGAAAGAAGTAAAATAACTGTAATTTCCTAATAGCACCAAAACAGAAAGGAACAGAAAGCGAGCTTATTGGGTGAATCACATTGCTACTGGTAGCAGCTAGTAACTGACAGAATGTCTTAAGAAGCACAGCAGTGAAGGTTAGTCTGAATGTCAGCTGCTTACAAAATCATCATAGTACAATACAATAACAGAAATGCTGATTCACTGAAAAAAGAAATGTTCGGTATTAAGGCTACTTTAGAAAGATTTTCATCCCAATCAAAAGACATACATAAAATTTGTAATATCTGTACTGGCTGCTTATATAGATGTAGTTTCCCAGAACAGAAATCTTTTAATAAATAATTTATTTATATTTAAAGGTTTTTCATAATGAAACTATTTTTCTAACAAAATATTTTTCTAACTTTTTTTTCCTAACAATTTTAATGACTCATCTTAAAATGCTGTAATTTTCAGCATTTGATTAGTAGGCTCATTCAACACAACTGCATCTTTAGAAAAATAATCTGTCTTTTCCACTTCTACTTGATGCCCCAACACCAAATGACTTGTCATTCCCCAAACAAACATACCGCTTCCCGTCCCATTCCTTTGATCTTTCCATACCTGGTATGCTTTTCCCTGTCCTTCATGTGAGGCTAACTCCTACTCACCTTTTCAGATTCAGTCTCAGGTGACACAGTCTCCTGAAGCTGTTCATGTTTCTTTTCTCTTTACTTTTCCCACATAAAACTGGGTTAGGTATCTATCCCCTTATCCACAACATCCTAGGCATATCTCTATTAAGTTCTGTTAGGAGTGGTTTAGTGGATATGTTCTTACATTAGACTGAGCTTCTTGAGGGCATGAACAATATCTTATTTTATAATCCCAGCAACTAGCAACATTAGCTTGTCTATGGCAAAAGCTTAATAAATACTTGTCAAATTAATATAATGGAAAGGCTGCTCTGGTTCTAGCTCCTTATAACAACAAAAGTCATTCTAACAGCATTTAGACATCCTACAAAAATGAAGGTATGACGTCAGTTTATGAACTGTTAGAATTATTTGATAGCTTCAATTCCTAAGTCTATCCTTCCGGCAAGGTAAAAATTAGCTTCAATAAATTTTCTATTATACTTTTATGGTAGTCAGTAAAAATTTACCTTCCCCTATAATTGAGCAAATTTCTTAAACTTCTTCTTTTAAACTCAATGATAAGTGTCTTGAGTCAGATAAATAAACTTTTAATAGCCACTAAGTCATATTTTGAGCTTCAAGATATCTGTTCTAGATCTCACAGGACAAAACATAAGCATTTATTAGGCATAAGTTCTATGTCAGTAATTAGAGAGATGGGGAAAATAGTGGTAAATGTAAGACATACATCATCAAACATGAGAAACTTACAATGCAGAGCAACAGAATTGTGGGACAACACCAGCCTTAGAAAGCTTATCAATTGACCTCATACATTTTTCAACTAAGTTATCATGTAAAACTTTTTGTAGAATACAAATTGGTATAGGAATACAAAAAATGTTAATGTTGTGATGTGGGAAGAAGATGGCAATAAAGCTGTTTTCAAACATTAGTAAAAATTTAGACGCATTTAGAAAAATTATTTCTAGTTGCTTTCTAGAATTTCTAACCTTTTATTAGAACTAATCCTGTTCTTCAGAATTCAAAAAAATTTGTCAAAACCTATGGAACAATAAAGCTGATAATCACTATCAAAGAGGATAAAATTTCTTTAATATAAAGCATTAATATTGGAAAATAATCTAGTCTTTTCACTGATAAATTTTATTTTATTTTATTTTTGAATCGGAGTCTCATTTCGTCTCCCAGGAGGGCAGTGGCACACTCATGGCCACTCACTCCAGCAATGACCTGTTAGGCTCTCTGGTGATCCTTCTGCCTCAGCCTTCCAAGTAGCCGGAACTACAGGCATGCGCCACTTCCGGATAATTTCTTTGATTTTTTGTAGAGACGAGGTCTCGTCAAGTTGCCCGGGCTAGTCTTGAACCCGCAAGCTCAGGCAATCCACTCACCTCAGCCTCCCAGAGTGCTGGGATTACAGGCTGAGCCACTCATGACCTTCTGTTAGAAAAAATATTTGCAAAAACACAAAATCTGATTTGAAACCCTAGGAACAATTGGCATAAAAAAGCTAAACAAACTTTTAAAAAAATGTTAACAAATGAAGCTAAAAGAAAAATGAGAGACCGCAAGAGAAATAAGCTCTTTATCCTCCCAACTTTTAAAACATCCCAGCATTTATAATGTAAAATATATCAATGAAAGATGAAAAGGGTTAATAATTTAAAAATCTTCTCATTTTTGGGCAGTATTGTAGATGTAAGAAGAAAGAAATGGGAGTATGCCATTTAAAAAGTGGTTTTTCAGTATAAAGAGCCTGAGCACTGTCTCCAATTCCCCCTTTTCAAGACCTTTTCTCAGCCCTCCCCCCCAAAAAACCCCACCCTTTCATAAAACCATTTTCCAATCTTCATTTGAGTATTGAACTTAGAACTCCATTTAATACAAATACTTTTTACTCATCAGTTGATGGTATGAAAGGCAATCTATTGCACTTGAGCAATCCATACTTGCTCCATTATTTAAGAATATTCAATTCTTCTAAAAAAATAAGCAAAACAAACAGCATGGATGGAACTCAAGAACTGTTAAGCACAGATAATAAGTACACTAATAGTGTAAGAGAAGAGGCAAAATTCATAGGGTGTATTAAGTAGAGATAATGAGTAGCTTGTGAGATACAGGCACATCATAATGTGCTAAATATAGACAGTAAGTCAGTAACCTATAAGACATGTTAAATATACAATAAATGGAAAGTATAACGGAGCAAACAAGAGTATTACTCTTTGATCGGAAGGCTTGGAAAGACCAAGTCTTAAGGCAAAAAACACTCTGGGTTGACAACGTAAATGTTATCCTGAAATCAAACCCTCTAACACAGATCAATTCTGGCCCCATATTTGCTCTGCCAAAAATAAATGCAGATAAAACCCAAACTATTTGACAAACTAATTGGAAAGTTAAAGCTACTGGCAGATGTAATTGCCCTTGTATCTCTCTGACTGAGCAAGTGTGTCCCCCAGCCACCTTTCAAGTGTCTGCTATGGCCTCTTCCTCAAACCCCATTCTCATCCTTGTAACCACACCAACAGTTTGGAAGGCTGATGTTGCAAAGAGACAAGACATGTGAACATTGTATAACCCAGCATTCAGGTCATGGGGTCCTTTTCACCCCATTTGCATGCAATACTAAGTACATTGACCATCTTTTCTCCCTTGATTCGCATTACATGTTTTAAATTGATTTAATAAAGCATGTAATTGGAGCATCATTTTAAAAAAAGTGGTTTTTAAGATCTGTATTAAAGGAGTTGCTATAACATGGGGAAAATAATACATGTGGTGGTATATTGGAGAAATGTCTCTTACCCAGAAGCAAGATATCAATATTCTCTCAATACTCAAAAGCAATTAAAAATAAGCTCAAAGATGTGTCAAAAATTAGCATTAAAAATGAGTAATTTTTCAGCCAGATGTGGTAGCCCATGCCTGTAATCCTAGCACTCTGGGAGGGTGAGGCAGGAGGACTGCTTTGGCCCAGGAGTTGGAGACTAGCATAGGCAACATAGCAAGATCTGAGGTAAAAGGATTTGCTGAGCCTGGGAGTTTGAGGCTGCAGTGAGCTGTGATCATGGCACTGCATTCCAGCACTCCAGCCTGGATGGCAGAGTGAGACCTCCCTCCCAAAAAAAATTTCTATAAAGATTCAATGATTGAATAAGAGGGAAAGGAAGAAATTTAAATTAGAATGATCAAACATTAGCACTCTGTAACTTGAGAAAGACAAAACAATTCATTAAAAAGAACAGATGAAGTATTTGTAATATGCTCAACCATATCAAGTGATTATAAAGAAATAAATGTAAGTACCTTTACCACTGGAAACGTACCACTGTGTATAGGCATGTGTACGATACCCTGCAGGATTCAGATGCTTAAATACATGGAGATGGAAGGTGGGATAGGATAAAGTTATACAAACCATTTGTGAAGATCCAACCTACTTGTAATTATCGTCTTCCACGAACTTTTGTAGTTCTTCTATATACTGAACAGAGTTCAGATATTTTTGGACATGAGGCAACATGGGAATATCTAGGCAAAAGGTGATAAATAATTATCTGATAAAGTACATCTTAACCAGAACTTTAAAAGTTAAGCTGAGAAAAATAATTTAAAGGTAAAATAAGGTCACATGGCACCAAAATTTAAATTAACTTTAGAAATTAGTGAGGTAAACTTTTAAAAATGTGAAACCAAAGGTAATTTAAAAAGTTACAGTTGCATACTATCATTTGTATAGATTTTTTTTTACAGCTCCAATTATGAAGTCCTGCATATTTGAGAAATTTCTTTAGAAAAAAAATTAGAAACTTCATTGTGATCTACATTCAAACCTTAACTAGACATAAAATATAAAGACAGTTATTTTTCTTTTAAAGAAACCTGGCTCCCATTTTTAAGTGTGGTTTCTCTTCGCTCCTTGTAAATTTCAAACAAGATTAATTTAACATTACAATTGGTGTTACATTTAAAAAATCGAGAAAAGGACAGAATAAAAAATTATTTGATTTAACTTTCACTAAGATTCTATCTCTACACACATTTTAAGGAAGTTTTTGAGGTTTTCTAAAAAGTATAGATGCATATATATAAAGTTAGCTTTAAGACAAATTTACTTGAAATAAATCAGACAATGTAAAACTCACTGTTTTTTTAACACCATAAAGTCATATATTAACAGTCTAACTTTATGACCTATCAAACTGAAAGCATCTCAACATTTAAAAATCCCCCTTTCTGGAAGCAACCATGTTGTCCATCAAAAGAGGACTGTATTAAAAAAATGTGGTATGTATACACGATGAAATACTACGCAGCCATAAAAAAAAACAAAATCATGAATTTTGCAGCAACCTGGATGGAACTAGAGTCTATAATGCTGAGTAACCTCTCATAGAAACAAAGATCTGAGTATCACATGTTCTCACTCATATAGTGGACCTTAAACATCTATCGTAATACTATAAGAAAAGGATTGACAGTGGTAGGAAACTATGGAGGTGGGGGAGGCAGGGGAAGGGAGGTGGGATTAACGGTAGTCAATATCTGTCTGGGGATAGGGAGATACCCCTTATCAACAAGGGTGCCTGAACGAAACGTATTTGTATACCTAACCCTTAACTGTACCCCACAATATCATAATAAAAAATGATTATAAAAAAATAAAAATAAAAAAATAAAATAAAATCCCTCTTTCCTAATCATTTGGGCTTATTTAGTTCTTTCTATATATGTCATTCCATATAATACATCTAGGACAAAAATTGCTTATTTACTCAATATCTGACTCAAGAAAGTTAGCCAACTTTCAACTAGGCTAAGGGCCTCAGCTACTTCCCTAACTGAAGTATAAGACATGACAGAGCAGGGAGATCTGTAAGTGGCAAAGGGCTAGTAACTAAGAGGCGGTAACATTAAATACTTGGGCTCTCTGAGCAAAGTTGCTACAAATAGCAGTAAAGCCAAAAAAAAAATTCTTAAATATTAAATACTTCAATTCCTTAAAAGCAAGATCTTAAACAGGATGCTAAATAGTAAATGGTTAAATAAAATAACCATTATTTTCCTTTATGTTAGAATGGAAACACAAAATCGATGCTCTGTTAACAGAAATCATGGAATGTGTGTAAACAAATCACTAGAATCACGACATGTTAATAACTTGCCACATCCCCAGAAACTCACCATATTCACAGGACTGTTGTAAGTCAGAAATTATTCGAAGGATGTTATTCATTAAATTTGATCTTTGCTCATTTTCTAGAATGCTACCAGTTGATGGGTATGCTGAGTCAATGTATGTTAAATCTGACAAATAGATACCTGAAACAAAATCAGATAATTGAGTGTTTTCTTACTTGTAGTTTAGAAAAGCATGACAAAGGAAAAGAAAGTTTATAGATATACTATATTCCAAATTATGCCTTATTTAGAATATATGGTTATTAATACACTGAAAGCTTGTTAAAACATGACCATTGGGGTCCAGGTTTCCACAATTGAGAACAGACATACAAATTATCTCTTTCTTAAAAAGTCTTCTCATAATACTATTTTTCAGGTATGGTTTGAAGCTGCAGTTAGAAATTCCAGGACATGTGGGACTTAGTGGAAAGAAGCTGAGCTCTTGCACTGGGTTTGCCTCTGACTAGTTGTATAATAAAGATAGTTATTTCAGTCTCTGAACCTTAGTTGTTAAATCTATACAACTAGTATCTACTTTCTAAGCTGTGGTACAGCCTGAAGATATTAACTTAACCAGCTTAGCCAGTGTCTCGCATGGGGAATAACATTAGTTTTATACTCCCTTGCCTTGAGTTGATAACTACTATCATTTGAGTCTTAACTATTTTGCAAATTATCTCAATCTGGTAGAAATGTCTTACCCTTCTTTAAAGGTCATCAAATGCATCTCTGAAACAGTTCAAAATTAACTCTTTCCTGCCCTCTTCCCATGTGGTTCTCTGTACCAACAATAATAATACATCCTCTAAAATAATTTGGTTGCTCTCGTCCTGAACACGGAAGGCCACTCACTTAAAAATATTTCTTAAGAGTTTATTATGCACATGTAAAATGTACAAGACAACTATAGTTGGAGAGAAAAAAATGTTACCTAGTCTTACTTCACGTTCATGAACTTTCAAGGTAAACGCAATCACAATAATGTCCCCACCGCCTTCTAAATAAGCCCTTTGTGTTTATTCATGCCATTCTCTTCCACCTTGCGTGTTTTCTAGACATATCTTTGCTCATCCAAGCCTTGTATCTTATATATCCAGCTCAGTGTCAACTATTCTCTAGTTTTTTCACAGATTCCAAGAAAGGAATTTAGAAACTGTCTAATGTCACCCACTCTTTTTATATATGAAAAACCTGAAATTTGGTACCTGCATAATGAACATTTGTATACCTAACCTGAATTGTACCCCACATCCTTAAAAAAAAAAAAAACAAAACCTGAAATCCAGAGATGTTAAAAGGACCTGTCTAAAGCCATGCAACCTGTTGGTGACAGAGCTGAGTATCAGAAGTTTCAGGACAGCCCAAGATTAGTTTAAAATTTTTTAAATGTGTAAAAAATTCACACATTATCTATACCATTCACTTAATACATTTTATGACTTCATAATCTCTTTAGTTACTTAAATTTTCTTCTATTTATATCTTATCTGTCAAGATGGCAGTTGCTCTATCTTGCACTCCAAGAAAGAGAAAGTCCTGTGCAATGTTTTGACAAGAGGTAATGAATATATGACATCAGAGGCTGGCATGACAATCCTTTTGCTCATTCTGGTGTCATTCATTTCCCATTCAGTAAGTCTTTACAGTATTATTTAAGCCATCTATCATAAATACGTTTTTTTCTTCAGAGAACCTCAGACTTCCCCTCAGCTGAGGATCTTCCTACTTCCTCCAGTTTCAGAGGATGAAGATGTCCTCTCCTTTCCAAATCTCATCTGTGATACTGAATGTCATCATTACAGCCTTCTTGCACACTGTGGCCTTCACTTACTCCCACTGGCTCCTTTCCCAGAGCACACATTTAAATCTCCCCTAACTAGGAAAACAAAATCAAGGCGACCCTTCCTTCAAATATGACTCCTTCCTCAAGATAAGACCTTTGGCTTTCTCTCCTCAACAAACACCTTAAAAGAAAAACAAAGAATAGTTATTTATTCTATCCTTCATTCTATTTATTTTATTATTATTATTATTATTTTAGTCAGGGTTTCATTCTGTCATCCAGGCTAGAGTGCAGTGGCATGATCACGGCTCACTGCAGCTTTCAACTCCTGAGCTCAAGTAATCCTTCTGCCTCAACCTCCTAAGTAGTTAGGACAACAGGTGCATGCCACCATACTCAGCTATTTTTTGATTTTTGTAGAAATGAGTCTCACTACATTGCCCAGGCTGGTCTCGAACTTCTCCTGTCTCGGACTCCCAAAGTGTTGGAATTACATGCATGAACCACTGCACCCAGGTTCATTCTATTTTTAATGTAATATTTGATGCGTGTAAAAGCTTATACGTATCAGGAAAAATTGTGGAAGATTTTGAAATGGGCAAGAAAGATTACTAGATATCCTCCCTCCAGTTCCTTCTTTTGGCCCTATTATACAACTCTGAAAGTTGTGGAAAACTGGTAATAATATCTTATCCATAACAATGCCAGAGAATTATGTCCTGTGGGATGTGATTATTACCTTGTTAATACTGACCAATTTTGCAACTGTGAATTTATTTCAGCATTCCTAATTTCAAATGTGTGTTTTAACTTATAATTCTCCCTTGAAATAATTGTAATATGATTCCTTTATACATTTTTAATATTTGTGTGAGAATTATTTTATCTTTTAAAAATTACCAATACATATAATATCTGTTTTACATACCTTGGGGTAAATAAAATGTATTATTTTTAAAAAGGAACTACAATATCATCAATATTGTTGCATCCATCTGTATATTCCTTCCTTACTTCATCTCCCTGCTTAAAAAAAAAACAAACTTAAAAATTTAAGATTATTTCCTTGTTTTTCCCCCAAGATGTATGTCTGGATTTCCACAAAATATATTGTTTGCTTTTGCTTATTTTTGAGCTTTAAAAAATTCTATTTTAATATATATGTGGATTAAATTAAGTAACAATATTTGTAAAGTTACCAAAGTGTCTAGTACAAAGTGATTTATAAACATCTGCTATAAAAATTTTGACAATTTTTTGTGATTGCTTTGTCTTTTTTTTTAAGGTTTATCCATGCTGCTAAATGCAGCTGTGATTTCTAAAATTTAAACCCAACTGATGTGTGACAACCTCACAATTATGCCTTCATTTTATTTAATAGGTTTTCAAGTTACTTCCCTCACTTCATGTTGCCATAGACATTCTTGTACATTCCTCCCAGCACACATGTACACAATTTCTTTGGGATATATATATACACACACACATCTAGGAGTAAAACTGCCAGGTTCTGCAGTATATTAATATTCAACTTTATAAGCTAGTGCCATATTATTTTTCAAAGTTATATCCATCCGCACTCTACATAGTATACAAGTTTCTGCTGATCTGCATTTGGGCTAACATTTGGTAACATTACATCCTCTTAATTTTTGCCAGTCTTGGGAATATAAAATGATATCTCTGACTCTCTTAATTTTCATTTCCTTGATTAGCATAATGAAGTTAAACATTTATATTTATATGAAATAAAGATTTTTGTCTGCTTTTTACTTGGAGCTGTCTTTTCTTACTGATTTCTAATTTCTTAATATATTGTGGATACTAAGTCGTTTGTCAGTAAAATTTTACCCACTCAGCAACCCTCTAAATCATCTGAAATCTGTATCTAAATCCGTATCTTGCTAAAACTTATTTTGGCAAACACATTAATGACTTCCTTATTATTTTAACTATTCTCTTCTAGTTCCCTGATTTTTTCTGGTTGTAACTTTCCTAGCCTTCCCTCGCCCCCTACCCCTCACCATTTTTCTTTTTCCTATGTTTTCTGGAAACTGATATTAACCATGGTCTGTTGTTAATCTTTCTTCTCATTCTACATGCATTTTCTCTGTGGTGTCTAAGTTCTGTAACTTCACCTACCACCGCATTGCTGATGTCTTTTCAAATCTCTCTATGGAACTGAGCGCCTGACTTTCATTTTCAATGTAACATGTCTATTATTTGTCCCTAAACACCTGCCGTTCCAATTTTCTACCTTGGTTAGTGATATTACTAATTGCTCCAGCTAGAAAGCTCAAAATTGCTCAAATTAAAAAGCTCAAGAGATATTAATGCTCTCATATTTTCCCCAAACTTAACTATTAGTGACTACAACACAATCACTGAACGATCAAAAAATTATACATAATGTAAATCAGAGGCAGAAGCTGGCAGCGCACCTGTCCAAATGTTTTTCCATCAGGAAATATCTAAATCACTCTCTTTTCCTGAAAAATGGGAAGACCTGGCAACATTGTCTCATAATTCTTCATGGCTACAAGAAGTATGGCTAAGCAGGACCCAGCAGAATCCTGTAAATGAACTGTAAGGATGCCAGTTTGCCATAACCTTCGTTTTCCTCTATCAACTGACCGCTGGTTGCCTATACTTATTAATGCTTCATTCTTGTTGTGAGCATTTGCCTTTATAGGCCATTGAGTGCCTATCTACATATGACACAGGAATTCAAAGAAAACGATTCCGTGAAACATATAGAAATTAAGTTTAGACTTTATATAAAGGATATGGCTCGACAGTGTGGCCTATCAGAAAGAGAAAAATAGCACAAGCTACGGCAACAAGGTAGGGAAGGATAGGAAGCAGAAGGCTCAAGTTTTATCAAGAAGCAGCATTCAGCAACCAGGTAATCCAGTGAGACAGTGTGTGGCATAATGCTTTGTCATTAGATTCAAATCACAATTCCACTTAGTACTTGAGTTCTAAGCCAAGCTACTTGAGACGCCTAAATTTGTGTTTCCTCAGCTATTGAGATACTGAATGAACATTTCCGCAATTAATCAAAAATAACAGCATGGTTGGTACTCAACATTCATTAATTCCCCCTCTAGCACTTTAGTTTCATAGCAGAAGAAATTGGGCTAGAGGTAAGTAAAGTGATTTACTAAGTTTATGTAGTTAGTGGAGAGTCAGAGTTCCCTTGTTTTCTACCCAGTTTAGGGTTATGTTTGTTTTAAAACCACAACACATCAGTTAATAACAAGAATGACCTTATACAGAAAAGAGGGATCATTCTGTAAAACAGGAGAATGTGACATTATATAATACTGGAATTTAGGATTAAACAATTATTAAATATCTGAAAGAATTTTACTCATTTTTGGTAATTTCATTTTTTTTCCAAAATTACATGTATGTGCAGTTTTATCTTAAGACACATCACACAGTCAGATATAACATACTACAAGAACAAGTTTCTTATAAAGTTTAAAACCTTCTGAAAGTAGCTACTAAAATGTTTAAAAATTCTTCTAGGCTATAAAGGGTATTAGTCTAGCTCTTGTTCTTTGTTAACAGAATAAACTCATCAGCCTGCAACCACCTCTAAGTGAGTTGAGTACTATTTTTTCAGCATTCAACTTAAAAGCTCTCGGGCCAGCAGACAAAAATGTTTGTTTTATAATTGCCCGCTGAACTAGGATAGTTTGTTTCCAGATGGTGCCCTTCCTTCAACCTGCACACAATCTCTCCTTGTTCGAAGCTATTCCACCCCTGCTGATCCTGAACCCCCACCCTTACTTACAGGCTACAGAGAGGAAATCCTAAGGAGGAGATTTCCCTCCCCCGCCCCCCAGGCTCCAGCAGTTTTCTGGTGATGTAATATGTGGGCTGAACTTGAGTCTACTGAGAAAGAGGGAATCACTCTTCAAGGGTACTGTATATACAATCTGGGTCAGCTGCGCTGGTGACTGCATTTCTCCATGTGGCAGACAGAGCAAAGCCACAATGCTTTCTCTGCCGGATTAAAGAGTCCGCAGACCAGAGCTTCCACTATACTACTTAAAATTACATAGGTGGTTTGTCAGATTCAACTGATTCGTTCCTTCTTACAGTCTGGATTCAACGGTCCAAAACAAAAATGCAGCTGCCATTAAAATCACAGATGGACAAACTTCTACACTGACTTAAAAAATCGAGAACAAGGGCAGCAAGTTTCTGGATTCGCTCTATCAACAGTTACAAAAAGGTATTTAATATTTCCTTTATATATTTTTAAAAATATGTATATCAAAATGCATGTTTACTTTGTATTTGTAGTGGAAATTTCAAAATCTCTCATTAAACAAAGAACCTTGGAAAAACTACAATTGATCTAATCTGAAAAAGGTTTTGTTTTGCACATTTATGTAAAACCATTAAGCACTTTGTGATGGTTAATGCCTTATTTGAGGTTCAATTTAATGATATTTAGCGTATATGATTATACACTGATACGTGCATACTGAGGTTCTGAAAACAAGTGCTTTAGTGACACAAGAAAAAACTTTGACAAGTAACAGATTAAATGTATAAGGTCTCTAGCTATAGCACAGTGATTAAAAACAAAGCAACATAAACTAAAGAAAATGGTTGCAAACATGGTTAGTTTATCTTCCTGCAGCTACAGTGGGTGTGTTAAAGATAGACATAAAGTGTTGGGTTTCTCAGAGTATAGTTATAAAACAAAGCTAAGAAGATTTAAAAATAACTGAACGGCTTTACAACAAAACCTCATTATGGTATAACCAAATATTAAGCAGAAATTCTAATACAGATTTAAGGTAAAACTATGGCATTTCTTGATACAACTCAAAAGTTTAAATAGTTTTCTAGGCTTACAGTAATTTAATTTGGGTAACAGAAATTAAAATTGTTACAACTGGAATTACTTGAAAAAGTGAAAATTATTGATATACACACAAAAAAGTATTATGTAAGTAGTCAGCATTAACAATAGAAGAACCTAGAAGATGTAATTCTTTAAATATATGATTAAAGGGTCAAACATATATATTTTTAGATAGAAACAATTTTAGTTACCATATACATATTTTTTAGATAGAAATAATTTTAGTAACCACACACATATGAGGTTTTCTTCAATACAGTCTATCTGGGAGCTTTGTTTAATTTTATTAGGAAAACTTAAAGGTAAAAATTACTAATAGTAAGCTTTAACACCAAAGACTATTAAGTTTATATGATTTGGGGAACCTCTGGCTTTTTAAAAATTAACAGCATTAATGGTAAGAATCTTCAACAAGCAAATAACGGTAAAGTTAAAATGATTTCCAACTTTGCTTTCATGTCCTTTCCGTAAAGATTCAAAACTTAATATTGGGAGGATCTCTGTTAAACACTGATTTTATAAGAAATTCTGATAAAATTTCCAAGCAACACTGGATCTCAAATATTATCATCTCTCTCTCTTTTTTTTTTTTTTTGGTGCTGCTTACTGTGCAGAGTATAGGACCTCATTAAGCCTCAGTCTTACTGAAGCCTGAGGAAAGCATTTAATCTGAAACCCAAATCACTGGGATAACTATTTAGTCCTTTCTTAAATACATCCAGGGATTAGATTGTTCTCAAGTCTCTTCCCAGAACACATTTCACAATCTATAAGTTCTTTATCAAATATATCCTCAATGCTTCATATATTCGTCACTGCCTCATGCTGTTTTCAGTGCTTTCAGTGCATGACACAGTCAGTGAAATGCCTTTATGAGTTTACCATCTGAAAGGAAGTAAATCCTGACTTTTACTTCTCTCTACTAGCTTGCAACATAGCAATTATGATGAGTACTGGTAAAAGTAACCCAATGCATAGAATACTTTTTTTTTTCCTTTTCTAAAGACAACTAAGCAAAGACATAGACTTAAACTTAAGTATACTGTAACTAATTTATAACATTCTCTTGGGACCTAGGAAAATTTTAACATATACAGAAAGGTTTTATGAGGTAACACAGATTTATGGATCTTTCACTTTAAAACTGAACATATGTGGGAAAATATTAAATAAGAGAATGTTTTTAGAAAATGTAACAGTAAATGTATTTTTAAAACCAGTTCTTTACTCATGACGTAGTTAGTCTACTACTTCAGAAATGTAGCTCCTTGCTCTGCTTTAAGTGACAATAAAGCCATGCTTTTATAAGGACAAAGGAATTATATTTATTTTTAAAAAATAAACTTTTTGCCAGGCTCGGTGGCTCAGCCTGTAATCCCTTTGGGAGGCTGAGGGGAGTGGATTGCCTGAGCCCGCGGGTTAGAGACCTGCCTGGGCAGCGAGACCTCATCTCTACATTAAATCAAAAAATCAGCCAGGCGTGGTAGTGCGCGCCTGTAATTCTGGCTACTCGGAAGGCTGAGGCGGAAGGATCGCTGGAGCCCAGCAGGTCGAGGCTGCGGTGGCCGGAAGCAGCCACTGCACTCCAGTCTGGGTGACAGAGACTCCACCTCAAAAATAAATAAATAAATAAATAAACTTTTAGTTGCTATCTTTAAATGCTAACTTATATCACATTCTCTTTTGGTAAATAGTGATTTATATTGTGATTTAATTTTCTAGGAACAACAATGAGCCAAGGCAGAATACATTAAAGGAAGCTGTTTTTATTTTAATTTAGATTAGCATTTTCATGTCTTTTGTTCTTCAATGACAACACTGATGTGAAGTCACAACAGCAGTCTTGAATAATATGTTCTCTGTCTATAAAAATCTGTGTCTGCTATTATACAAGCTGTTCAGTTAGAATACTGCTCATAAAAATCTACTTGTTTTCAAGTTTCATGATGCTTTCTGAATTTTCCTTGTTTTGGTACCTTATTTCATAGTAGAAATTACTTAGATAAAATCATTTTTTTTTTTTTTTTGAGTTGGAGTTTCACTTGGTCACCCAGACTGGAGTGCAGTGGCCACTATCGGCCACTGCAGCCTTGCCTGCTGGGCTCCAGCGATCCTTCTGTCTCAGCCTT